CCAACAACTCCTTAATATGTGGAACTGCCAACAAACTCCCAAAACATGGCTCTGTTCCCACTGCAGAGCCAGCACAGTCAGTTTTTAGCTGACTGTTCCTGGAGGAAACAACAACAGCAAACCCAAGGAACTCTCCAGGAAGAGACTGCTCAGATGCAAAAAAAACCAAATGGAAAACATTCCTGAGGATTTGGTCCAAATCAGAGCTTCTCAAAGGCACTGACAAACTTGGAAACTTCGTGGTGAACTGTGGTGCCAAAGGGGAGCTGCCTCAACCCCTGGGAAGAGACAAAACACAGAGAATTCCCCCTTCAGGAATGTTTTGGGGTTTTTTTTTATACAAAATGATACATTTCAATATTTATTTGATAGGGGTTTTCATTGATCTGCTTTGCTGTTCAATCCTATGAAAATTGGGATACTCACTGATTCATGGAAAAAGGTGCAGAGCTGCTTTGCCCAGGGACATCTGAAACAGAGAGGAATTCCCACTCATTCCCTCCCAGCTGGCCACAGGTGCAGCCACTGCTGGCTTTGCATGACTCAAAACCCCCACAAAAATCCAACAGTTCACAGCTCCAAGCCAAGGTGAGCTCAGATTTATGGGAAAGTGATTGGGGGAACCCCAGGACGTGAAGGTTGGGCTGAGGCAGTTCCAGGGGGACAATCCCAGGATTTCAGGAGCTCTGGGGCAATCCCAGGATTTCAGGTGCCCTGAAGCAATCCCAGTGTGACAATCCCAGGATTTCAGGAGCTCTGGGGCAATCCCAGTGTGACAATCCCAGGATTTCAGGTGCCCTGGGACAATCCCAGAGTGACAATCACAGGATATCAGGAGCTCTGGGGCAGTCCCAGTGTGACAATCCCAGGATTTCAGGAGCTCTGGGACAATCCCAGGATTTCAGATGCCCTGAAGCAATCCCAGTGTGACAACCCCAGGATTTCAGGTGCCCTGGGACAACCCCAGGATTTCAGGCTCCCCTCACTCACAGGTGCAGGTTCTCTATGACCATGTTGAGGCTGAGGAGCCCCACAGATTGCATCCTCTTGTGTCTGGAGGTTAGGAACAGGCACAGGAACTCCCCCACGTACTGGGGACCAAGGTTCTCCCATCTGAACAACAAAACCAGAAGGGTTGAGGCACAGGAAGTTAACTTGGCATTTGGGAGAAGAAGACAATTCCCACATCCAATGGAATCTTATCCAAACCCCAGCCAGGAGATTCTCCCAGCACTGCTGGAAGCCAAGGGGGGCTCTCCCAGGGATGAGGGAAGCAGCTGCTCCCCAAATCAGGATGAAGGAACTCCAGCAATTCCACCTGTGCATTGCCCAGATTTCCACCCCTGACTCAGCCCAAGCTGCTTCCCAGGAGCTCAGGTGATCCCTCTGCTGCATTCCCTGCTCTGGGAGCAGGGCCTGACTCACACTCTCAGCATCATGGCTTTCTCCCGACTCAGATCCCTCAAAAGCAGGTTGGCAGTGCCACACAGGATGTGCTCCTCATAGGAAAGTTGGTCCAGCAACAGCCTCAGAGGCCAGAAGTTTTTCTAAGAGATAAGATTTGATCAGTGATTTAACCTCAGCACCAATGATTCCTTAAAATAAATTTAAAAAAAAAATAAAAATATTAAAGTCAAATTAAATGTAGCTAAAACCTCCAGGACCATGGTTTCATCATCACAGCATTTTCAAAATGATTTGTTTTAATCTCTTAGAACAGGAATCAGTTTCTAGGACTTACCCCAAAAGCCAGGACTAGCTCTATGAAGGAATTCAAGTGGGGCAGGTCACAACAAAGCATCTGCTGCACTGCTTGCACTGCCAGGATGAAAGAAGCCTCATGGTGCAGCTACACAAGAGACAGCAACAAGGAAAGAAATGGATTTAACAGCCCCTTTCCCTTTATTTATCCACTCAAAACCAGCACTGAGCTCATCCAGTTCAGCCAGAGAGCTTGGAGGTCACACAACAAATCCACAAGAAGCTCCCCAAGAGTTAAAAACCAGGGGAATGGAACAGGGATTTTATTTCTGGTGCTTCTCAAAGTGCTCAGAGAAATGTGAAATCTCACACAGGTGCAGAAATAGGGAATTAAAGGGGGAAAAAAAAATCCAGCTCAGGAGTCACATATTTGGAGAATAAACTAAAATTTCCTCCAAAAAAGTAAAAAAGAATAAGGCAGCTCCTTAGATGACTTCAATGAACATAGAATTTTTTTCCTGCCACCTTAAAACAACTTCCACATACCTAGAACTCTTCATTTAAAAGAAATTTAGAACTTCTGGGCAATCTGAGTACTGACACGAGAAGCCCCAGTGTCCTGTCTGAGCCAAACCCTGGGAGAGGTTAAGACACAATCAATTATTCCCAGCCCCACTCCTTTACAAATCCATAAATTTGGACAGGGATACAGATTCCTCCTGGACTGAAGATGTGCAGAGCAGAAGAAACCCTCATTTCTTTACCTTCCTATCTGCTCCAGAGTTTAGACCTAATCTTAAACTGATCATCCCCCAGAAAATCCTCCAGGCCCCTCCTAAAGGTTTTCTTAATAAGCCAACATTCTTCACTGCTGGGAATAAACTCCTTTGTTGTCATCACTGAGGCTCTACAGCACCAACCAAACCCTATCAAAAATTCTTCCATTTTTGTAGGGCTGAGATGGAAAAATCACCCCCTGCCATGGGCAGGGACACTTTCCTCCATCCCAGGCTGCTCCAAGCCCTGTCCAGCCTGGCCTTGGGCACTTCCAGGGATCCAGTGCAGCCACAGCTGCTCTGGGAATCTGTACCAGGGTGTGCCCACCCTCCCAGCCAGGAATTCTGGCAGTGGGAAGCCATTCCCCCTTCTCCAGGCCCTTTCTGATCTGATCCAGCTCCCTATGAGCAGATCCAGAACCAGTCCCAGGCCCTGAGCTGGGAGCAGAATTAACCCATTTCCAGGTGCCTGGAACATTCCTGAATCCCCACCCAGAGTCACCCTGGGCACAGGAGCACGGGGTGAGGCCCTGGAAGTTAATTCTGGCATTTGGGAGGAGGAGTAAATTCCCACATCCAATGGAATCTTGTCCAAACCCAGGAGATTCTCCCAGCACTGCCTGGTACCTCTTGGAAGCTAAGGGGGGGCTCCTTCAGGGATAAGGGAAGCAGGTGCCCCCTCTTCTCCAGCAAATTGCTGCTCCCCAAAATCATGATGAACGAACTCCAACATTTGGGCTAAAAAAACAACAGGACATTTGTGTTACCAAGTGAAACCTGCTCAAAGGGG